TTTTCTGAATTTGCCGATTCTGTGGTAAAGGTGAGACAGGGAAAAGACTATCTGATAGGTTAAGTGAACATCTTCATATAGAACAAAACAAGCCATTCCAAGTCCCATGCCATTCAAACGGAGATGAAGACAGGGGTACATAAGATGTTCACATCACGGCACTAGTTTCTTGCACTAATACGCACGTTATAGTGAAGTATGAAGTCAAATTAATTCAGATGTTTTTCAAAATATCACCTTATTGAAACAATCAAATATTACCTTACTGGTTCTCTGATTCTGATAGACTATGTTGCTGCATCCATGGCCTGGCATATGTGCAACGGTTTGGGAAACGATGCGGCTATCCTAACGGCTCCTAGCGGGTGCCAGGGCAGCCTTGAAACTCTCGATTGAGGTCGAGTCCACGGCGGCATTGCCCAGTTGGTTCCAAGCAATTTTTGTTCGTGGGAAAAATGATTGTTCTTATTGAACTGTGTTACACCGAGGCACAGTAAAGCATTTACTATTGTTCCGGGTGTAACTGCTCATGGAGTAGACAGAGGTGAAGTCAGTGTTTATTGAGCGTTTGGCTCTGACTAAGCGACCTGGCTTCTCTGGGGTGAGATACGTCTTAGCTGGGATGGCCAGCATTAGCCCCATGACCACTTTATATAAGAATGTTAGACGGAGTTTTTCTCGCCTGTCTTTGAGGGAGGGGATGTCAAATCTTTTTAAGAGGTCAGTGATGAAACCAGGGGTGATAGATTTGTAGTCATTTGCGATGAAGCGCACTGCATTGTGTTGTATGCGCTCCATTTTGTCCACGTCTTAGGTATGGGTCCCAGATTATCGCAACATAATCTAGTAGTGAGCGGACGAGTGCGAGATAGGCATTTCTTTTGCAGGAAGTTGGGCAGTGGCGCAGATTTCTTCGAATGAAGCCAAGTGTGGAGTTGGCTTTTTTTTTAATTTTTTTTTTTTTTTTGTGGTAACCATTTTAGATTATTCGAGAAAAGACTTCCAAGGTATGGATTATTTGTTACTTGTTGGTGAAGTTGGGCAGTGGCGCAGATTTCTTCGAATGAAGCCAAGTGTGGAGTTGGCTTTTTTTTTAATTTTTTTTTTTTTTTGAGGTAACCATTTTAGATTATTCGAGAAAAGACTTCCAAGGTATGGATTATTTGATACTTGTTGGAGAATGGTCTTGTTTAGAGAGTACATATAGGTTGATGGTTTTTTTCTTGAGATGCTCATTGTGTAGCATTTGGTTTCGTTAAATTTCATACCCCATTTGTCCGCCCTATTCATAAGACACTTCAAATCTGTTTAGAGGTTGTTGCGGTTTATCTCTCTGTAGATAAGACAGTCATCTGCAAACAGCCTCACTTGAGATTTTACAGTATTGGGTAGGTCGTTTATATGACAGCGAAAGAGAAGGGGGCCTAGCACTGTACCCTGAGGAACTCTTGAGTCTACAGTGGCTTTGCTTGATCGGATGCCATCCACCACTGCTTGCATGGTCTTTTGTGTTAGGAATGTTGATAGCCAGGAGTGAAGGTTGCCGGTAATGCCATAGTGTTGGAGCTTATGTAGAAGAAGGCTGTGTGGAACAGTGTCGAAGGCCTTGGAGAAGTGGAGAATGGCCATTTCGATATGTTTACCTTTGTCCTAGGAGGAAAGGAGGTCATTGGTGGTGATGATTAAATTGAGTTTCTGTTGAGAACCCAGAGCGGAAACCATGGTTTAGGTTGGTCAAGATGGTGTAGTGTTCAAGGTGGTTCATGATGTGGCGACAGATTATGTGCTCTAGAATTTTGCAATTTTGGTGGTCATAAATTTACTTCCAGTTATTATTATCTTTTTTCTTCTTTTTTTCTTCTGTTCTTTTCTCTTTTTGCTGGTTATTTACCTTGTGATTTGTTCAGTGTTACGCACGTTTCGGTTTTTGGAAAAACAATTTTCCTTTGTTTCTTGGTTTGTCTTGTTTGCTGAAGAAGAGAGCTATAGTCGAAAACGTTCCTGATTTGCCAGTCTTTTCATTTCAAGTTTAAACATATATTGTTCTACTACTTCCTACATCCGGCTTCAAAGTAGTCCTTTAATATAGTATCCTTTATTGGGATTAACAGCAAACAGGTTAAATTGAAATAAAGTCTTTTTTTTATGGCAAAAAATGAAAAGATGACTATTTGGATGAGGTCATTTTGAAACTAACTAACTAACTTAAGAAAATCAGCGAACACCGAGCCTTGAGGCTCATATGGTCCTCCCCAACGCACCACCCTGCCAACCAAACCGGCCGTCAACCACTCCCCAGTGGTCTTTATTCCGATCGGGCCGCGAAGCGGCACGCCAGGGACGCTCCGCCCCTAAGACCGCCACACTCGACCTCCACTCGATTGGCCGCTGAGTGTGGCAGCCCCAGAGAAGAAACACCTGGCCAGCCGGATTGCTGCTCACGCAGCAACAGGGCCGGACTTTCTAAGGGGTTGGGGTGGATATTTAACGTCTCTAAAGTCCCCCCTTACCACCCCGGGGGGACCGCGTAGTTGTTTAAGACCGACGCCCTCTACTAGGGTTTGTATGGTTATTCTACGGCGCGACTAATTCACACCGTAGATGGGAGAGATAGGTTGCCTAGGAGCAGTACCCTCAAGACTGCATATTTAGAATCACCGGTGAAAGGTTGCCACACACCTTCACCTCATATCCATACGGCAACTGTAATCATTTTTGAAACTAAAATTCATTAATAATTACTGAAAAGTAAATTATTGCAATGATTACTGAAAATATTCTATTGCAATGATTACTGAAAATATTCTATTGCAACGATTACTGAAAATATTCTATTGCAATGATTACTGAAAATATTCTATTGCAATGATTACTGAAAATATTCTATTGCAATGATTACTGAAAATATTCTATTGCAATTATTACTGAAAATATTCTATTGCAATGATTACTGAAAATATTCTATTGCAATGATTACTGAAAATATTCTATTGCAATGATTACTGAAAATATTCTATGCAATGATTACTGAAAATATTCTATTGCAATGATCACTGAAAATATTCTATTGCAATGATTACTGAAAATATTCTATTGCAATGATTACTGAAAATATTCTATTGCAATGATCACTGAAAATATTCTATTGCAATGATCACTGAAAATATTCTATTGCAATGATCACTGAAAATATTCTATTGCAATGATTACTGAAAATATTCTATTGCAATGATTACTGAAAATATTCTATGGCAATGATTACTGAAAATATTCTATTGCAATTATTACTGAAAATATTCTATTGCAATGATTACTGAACATATTCTTTTGCAATGATTACTGAAAATATTCTATTGCAATGATTACTGAAAATATTCTATTGCAATGATTACTGAAAATATTCTATTGTAATGATTACTGACAATATTCTATTGCAATGATTACTGAAAATATTCTATTGCAATGATTACTGAAAATATTCTATTGCAATGATTACTGAAAATATTCTATTGTAATTACTGAACATATTCTATTGCAATGATTACTGAACATATTCTTTTGCAATGATTACTGAAAATATTCTATTGCAATGATTACTGAAAATATTCTATTGCAATGATTACTGAAAATATTCTATTGCAATGATTACTGAAAATATTCTATTGCAATGTGAGACGCTAATACATTCCTATTCCTTAGAGAGGGAGACAAGCCACTATGGCCTTTTTTAAGAACTTCGAAGAGAAACAGGGGCAACACAATTTGGAGCTCAATGCTGACGCCGCCGGCCCAGCCGTGATAGAAGCAGAAGTCGTGGCGAGTGATATGACAGATGACACATCCGATATAACCGAGTACGACAATGAAGCATAAAGTGTGGTGGATCTCTGCAGCACGGCGTCTCGTAAGTGTGTCTACCTCTTACGCAAAGTTTCTTTTAATGTGCTCGTTAGTTTAAATGAAATTAATGTCATCTTTCTTCTAATGAATGACAGATTGGGGAATTAGCTACTATAAATTTATACTACTGAAAGAATTGTAGCATGCATAACTGATGGGAGACTGAGCTACAATAAATCGATGCTATTGGACAGGCCTGAACAACACACGGCCCGCGGGACACGTGCGGCCCGCCAGCACACACTTTGCAGCCCGCTAAGTAACAAAATGGTCTTCATTAATATTATTGATTAATAGCTTTCCTCCTTGTTTTATTATCTTTCGGCCCGCACAAGATTTTCATAAAATACTACGGCCCGCCTTACATTTTGATTTTATTTTTGTTGTTTTTTTTTGTGGTGGTTATTTTTTAATCGTATTCTTCTTTATTCCAGCATCGTAAGAGAAGACACCACAACATCTTTAAACATGTTGAAAACATGTACAGCCTTTCACCTGATTTGTCAACTCTTCTTGATGAACTTCATGTTATGTGAACCTCGAGTTTCTTTATGTTTAATTTGCAAACACATGTCTGTGCCGCATAGCTTTGAAATTTGATGTATACTGATGTACTTGAAATTTGATGCATACTGATTTACTTGAAATTTGATGTATACTCATTTACGTGAAATTTGATGTATACTGATTTACGTGAAATTTGATGTATACTGATTTACGTGAAATTTGATGTATACTGATGTACTTGAAATTTGATGTATACTGATTTACTTGAAATTTGATGTATACTGATTTACTTGAAATTTGAGGTATACTGATTTACTTGAAATTTGATGTATACTGATTTACGTGAAATTTGATGTATACTGATGTACTTGAAATTTGATGTATACTGATTTACGTGAAATTTGATGTATACTGATTTACTTGAAATTTGATGTATACTGATTTACTTGAAATTTGATGTATACTGATTTACTTGAAATTTTATGTATACTGATTTACTTGAAGTTTTATGTATACTGATTTACTTTAAATTTGATGTATACTGATTTACTTAAAATTTGATGTATTTTGATTTACTTGAAATTTGATGCATACTGATTTATTTGAAATTTTATGTATACTGATTTACCTTAGATTTTTAAGAATTGTGCACTTTTCATATTAATTATTTTAAAATGAAATTATGATTTCTAAATATTTGCATCAATATGTCAAAGAGAAATACAAATTATACCATGACCCGTTATTTTAATCATCGGGGCAATTACTATATCAACCTTACATTTTCTGAATTTCTGAACTTTAACTTTTTTGAATGGAGGCCTCCTGATGATACAAAGACTTCATTGCCATTGAATCCCGTACCCTCATTTTGACCCAATAACTTTATCTCCGTTGAATGGTTACCATCTGTATGACCCACTGACTTTATTGCCGTTGAATCCCATGCTATCCTTTTGACCCACTGACTTCATTGCCGTTGAATCCGATACCATTCTATTAACCCACTGACTTTATTGCCGTTGAATTCCATACCATCCTTATGACACATTGACTTTATTGCCATTGAATCCCATACCATCCTCGTGACCCACTGACTTTGTTGCCGTTGACCATACCATCCTTATGACCCACTGACTTTATTGCCATTGAATTCCATACCATCCTTATGACCCACTGACTTTATTGCCATTGAATTCCATACCATCCTTATGAACCACTGACTTTATTGCCATTGAATTCCATACCATCCTTATGACCCACTGACCTAATCTCAGGATTCACGGGAACATGTATGGTTTCAAACACAATGACGTACATCCGGTGTTTGGAAAAAGGGATTGGAATGTTGATTGCGGGTCTGGCCAAAGCTGTCAACAAATGTGGCCTCACTGAGGTAAGTGGAATGTAGATGAAAAGTTTTGCCTCAGAGAGTTTCCTCAGAGAATTGCCTCAGAGAGTTGCCTCAGACAGTTGCCTCAGAGAGTTGTCTCAGAGAGTCGCCTCAGACAGTTGCATCAGAGAGTTGTCTCAGAGAGTTGTCTCAGAGAGTTGCCTCAGACAGTTGTCTCAGAGAGTTGCCTCAGACAGTGGCATCAGAGAGTTGTCTCAGAGAGTTGTCTCAGAGAGTTGCCTCAGACAGTTGTCTCGGAGAGTTGTCTCAGAGAGTTGTCTCAGAGAGTTGCCTCAGAGAGTTGCCTCAGAGAGTTGTCAAAAGCTATAAATAATCAAATTATGACTATTACTAACAATATCAAAGTTCAGATTTCTGACTGCACAGTCTTCATGTAGTTAAATTCTACTGCACAGCTGTGTGTTGGCAATTATTGGATGTGTGAGCATTTAATGGATGTGTTAGCATTTAATGGATGTGTTAGCATTTAATGAATGTTGTGTTAGCATTTAATGGATGTGTTAGCATTTAATGGATGTGTTAGCAAGTATTGGAGTTGCTAAAACTTTATGTGAAAAGAATTGTTGACATTGTTTTTGAAGACAACGGCTTGAACTGGAACAAAATTCTGTAAAATATCTGAGGGTAATCAAATTCTTGTAAAGTATTTTTTTTTGGGTGGGGGGGGGGGTAAAATTTTTGTACGTTAAATAAAAGTAATATTTTCCAAGTCCCTTTGTAGGCCTATATTTAGTAGTCTTAGACTAAAACAGGAGCCAGCAACACATGGCTGCTTGAATGAATACCTTAAGAGTGACAATTATTATTATTTTTTTTCATTTTGAGGAGCTTCTGCTCTAAAAAGATTAAATAAATGATTTAATAATAATATTTGTTTTAACGAGGTTTTAGCCTTAGATCAGAAGGGAAATTTTACTGCAGAATTCACGGCAACTTTCGTAATCCTATCCTCCTCTGTAATTATGATGTACATGAGACGTCTCTTATCTTACTTAATAAATCCCTCTTGACTCAAACAAGGCTGCTATCCCCGGAGCTGAATCATTATATTTGAGTTTGTTTTTTTTTGTTTTTTTATCGCTACTTTCTTTCTATTACGAATCTCTCTTCTAATAGTAGTAGACTTACTTTTTTAGCACTATTTTTTTTAATATTGCTAATATCTCTTGTAATAGTAGAAGATTTTTTAGCATTATTTTTTTATATTACCAATCCCTCTTCTAATAGTGGTATACTTACTTTTTAAGCATTATTTTTTTTTATATTGCGAATATCTTTTGTAATAGTTGAAGATTTTTTAGCATTATTTTTTTTTTTATATTACGAATCTCTGGTGTAATAGTAGAAGATTTTTTAGCATTTTTATTTTTTTACGAATCCCTCTTCTAATAGTAGTAGACTTACTGTAACACACACATGCTCTGACATCATTATCACTGTAACTTATTTCTTAGGCTGTGGGTTATGTCAGTAGCACGGTTACTTGTTTTAAGTTAGTAATTCAGAATGCCGGCTAAGACTTCATCGTTCTTCCTCGTATTATCCAGGCATGACATCATTATCACTGTAACTTATTTCTTAGGCTGTGGGTTATGTCAGTAGCACGGTTACTTGTTTTAAGTTAGTAATTCAGAATGCCGGCTAAGACTTCATCGTTCTTCCTCGTATTATCCAGGCAAGTAAATAAGAATACTGAATCCTGGTTAAACTGACAGTACTTTATTAAATCACAGTTTACACAGATAATATTAATAATAATCCTGCATGAATGTAATCATTTCACATATATATATATATATATATATAATATTCCATCACTCAGAAAGACACGTCCTCACACTGCTATAACTCAGCTCAACTGTACTACATCTCAACTCTAACTCAACTCCGACTAACTCTGACTCTCCTTGCGCTCAGCTCTCCTTATCTCAGTCAACTCATACTTTATTACCAGCAAAGCGTGGAAAACAACCGCTCTGACAAAAACATAATTTTACTCTCCAAAAACGTGGAGCTCACATTGTCCTCTCAAAATACATGGTCAACACAATTCACTGTTCACTCATGCTACCTCTCTGTTTTCATGTGAAAACATAGTCCGTTACACTTACCTTTTTAGCTTTTTTTTTTTAATATATTGCGAATATCTCTTGTAATAGTAGAAGATTTTTTAGCATTTTTTTTTAATTTACGAATATCTCTTGTAATAGTAGAAGACTCTTTTAGCATTATCTTCATTGTATTGCAAATCTCTCTATCCATGGTAGTAGTCTTTTTAAAATAAAAATTAACTGCATTTTTCACATAACTGTTACAAAAAACATAGAATGTTAATTAAGAAATCTTATATCACGTATGTTCACGGCCAATTGTGATAACCTTTATAACTAAACGAACATTTTGCACCAAAATGAACATTACTATCTTATTTGGTGCGCTGTGCAGCAGTGAGCACGCCATTGTTATTCTTTAAATTATTTAAATGATCAAACATTTTTGTTTCAATAATGCACTTTCATTTAAACATTGAAGTAATAAAGAACACCTAAAGAACACCTAATGAACAACAAAGGTGTTGTTGTTTTTTTTAATGAATACTTATTTTATTTATTTTTTATGAATACAGGTTTGACCATTCCAGATTGGTTGTGTTTGTTAACATATAAAAACTTTTTAACAAGTTGTAATTTTAGGCTCCAGACATTGACTCGAAATTATGATCAAAAACCTCGGTGGGTTCTTGTTATCAAAGGTTCTATATATAAAATTGTATATGAGAAATATAAGATAATAATAGTGCACATGTGCAGCACTTGAGGTGAGTTAAAAAAAAATAAACCATGGGAGAATATGTCAGTACCATTAAAAAGTATTGACCACTAAACACTTTGAGCTATTGAGATATAAACAATAGTAAGACCTTGTCAATAGTGCTGTCAATAGTGCTGTCAATAGTGCTGTCAATAGTGCTGTCAATAGTGCTGTCAATAGTGCTGTCAATAGTGCTGTCAATAGTGCTGTCAATAGTGCTGTCAATAGTGCTGTCAATAGGGCTGTCAATAGGGCTGTCAATAGCGCTGTCAATAGCGCTGTCAATAGTGCTGTCAATAGTGCTGTCAATAGTGCTGTCAATAGTGCCGTCAATAGTGCTGTTAAGATTTTTTTTTTATAAAACTCAATCTCTAAATGCTTTGTACACAGAAATAATAACAAGCCTGGCTTTATATAAAGAAAACGGTATAAGTTTATAAAACATTGTAATTTAAAAAGAACGACATTTAAAATGGTGCACATATCCAGCTCTAAAAAGTTAGAAGACCGTTTCTCGACCCCGGACCCAAGGTTCACACTTCACTATAATAGACAAAGGGAATTTAAATATTTACTGGGCGAGGGCACAGGTCGCACACCCTAAAGGCCGGCCCTGTGGGTTTGCTCCGTGTTTCGGGGCTTGTGGGTTTTAAACTTATATTCCCAATCTTGCCACCCCTTTTCCTTTTGTTAGCTAGTCGTTCTGGTATTTTCCACTGTTAAATTGTGAACTTTTTTTTTATGTCACACACAAAATCAACATAAAGGTTTAAGGTTTAAGAGAAATGTTTGATAGCTATTTTATGAAAATGCCTTACAATGCGCAGAAAAATATAAATACATTTTTTTTTCCCATTCTAAGGATTTGCCCATTTGTTCTTGTTTTATTTCCCTCTGCCGGCTTTAAAACAAATGAGTCAGTAAAAAATTTTGAAAACGAAAATCAAGGGATTATAATTTTATCGCTGTTTACAATTTTACTCCTTACCTCCCTTGGATTTTTTTTTTTTTTTGTTTTTTTTTTTTTTTGGCATCAGTGACAAATTATTTCAAGAAAATTTATTTTGTTCAAAACCTTTGCCTACTCATGACATGTCTCAAGTCCAACAACTTACACTAGTCATGACATTCCCATTCAAACACCTGGGGCTAGTCATGACATTTATCTTAGAATCGTCCTGACATTTCCCACCCTTGTTGTTCGACATCAATTATGCTCTAGGTTTTTAGTCTATTATTAGCTCATTGTGGATGTCAGCCAGCATATTTTGTTAGAATTTTAAAACCCCAAAAAAGAACGTTTTTTCATATATATTCTTTATAAAATGTAATATCGAGCAATTGAGGGAGGGGGGGGGGGTTCGGGTGGGGTGGGGCCGAAAATTTGACAAATCATGCATGCAAGTAACGCCGTTTATAATAATCCCTTTAGTGCTCCCCCCCCCCCCCGCCCCCCAAACAACAACAACAACAAAAATCAGGCCCGCAACCGCACTTTTTTGTCACGCCCCTGATATTCTAAATGACCCACTTACTTTTACCCCGCAAATTTATTTCCCCAACTATTTCAGACAAAAAAAAAAAACAAACAAAAAATATCACGCCCCAAACGCAGAATATTTTAGCCACCCAAACAACAACAACAACAAAAATCAGGCTCGCAACCGCACTTTTTTGTCACGCCCCTGATATTCTAAATGACCCACTTACTTTTACACCGCAGATTTATTTCACCAACTATTTCAGACAAAAAAAAAAAACAAACAAAAAATATCACGCCCCAAACGCAGAATATTTATGGCATGGATGTAAGGGTGCCCAACCTTTTAACTTGGCTGTGGCACCTTAGAAGAAGACGAGTGGTTTTGGGCATCACATAAAATAATGGCGACGGCAGATGAGCAAAAAAAAAAAAAAAAAAAAAAAAAAACTTGGATAGCTCAAGTTTTTAATTATATTGAACTTTAATAATTCATTATTATTATTATTAAAAAATTATTGTTCAGTGTCAATGAGTGTCAAGAGTAAGTGTGTGATTGTCGGTTTTTGGCACAATTTTGCTCTGCTGGTAGCTACATTGTAGCCATGTAGTGAGTGGTAGTTGACAGTTTTAAATATTATATCTTTGGTTTATAAACTACAGAAATTCAGGTCATGAGAACTGTAACCTTATATTGGTTATCGAGTGTTGTAAGGCCAAAGCTATAGAGACGGCTCTGCATAAATGATTTTATTTCATTTCGCTAATGATAAAATCTATTCAACATTTTAACCGACTTGACTTAACCATCTTACTTCCAAAGAGTAAAAGTTATCCCAATACATTTAAGGAATCTCTTGGCCTTTATTGGATTTCATTGTAGGCTACTGCCATGAGTGAGGGCAATCAGCATGACGTCATCCATCTTTAAAGATGCTGTCCATTATTTTCTTTGGTGTATTAATTAGTAATATTTTGTCATACGTAAATTTTGGGAGGCTAGCAGTATTTTAGAAGTCAATCTCTTTTACCGATCATCGCAGGAGTAAGCCCACTATCAGTTATATTCCACAATGAAAAGGACAAAGAAAATTAATTTAACGTATTTTTCACAGCTTTGTATAAATCTCTAGATTTAGCTGTGTCTTTTGGTGACACTAGACTAAAGAAGCCATTTCTTCAGTGATAGCATACATTCGCCATCATTGATTTTGATCATTGTCGTCAATATCAATGATCAATATCATTGCTATAGAAAGTTTAAATTTAAAAATAAATAAATATATAAATATATATATAAATAATAAATATATTTTAGGTCTATAAAAATAATTAACATGTTAAATTTCTATTCGTTGAATTTAGGGATAACAATACTTGTTCACGCACCGTTCTGCGCATGTCCTAAAATGTCGAAAAAATGTATTCTGCAATATGGCGTACGGCTACACGGTATCTTTGGAAAATTGCATACTACGTAACCTTTGTTTATTAAATAATGCTTTCCTTATCAGTGACGTATCAGTTTTTTTGTTCCGGTGATATATTGATTTATGCCACTAGATTTTTTGTGTATCCCGGACAGTATTATTATAATGACTCGGTTAGTATATAAATCCCATAAATACTTTTTTACTAGTAAAGCCACCAAAATAAGGTTTAGTGATACCCAATCTACATTCATTTTAAGAGTTTTTTCATTGTTTGACTTATTATCTTGACTTTGTCTATAAAAAGTTATGCATCCCACGAAGGAGTGGGGGTACAAAATTGTCATTTTTTTATGGGAAGCGTTATTCACACAGCTCTGTGAATAACGTTTAGCGTTATCGGCAGAACGAAATCTGTGAATAACGGCGAGCGTTATCCACACAGCTCTGTGAATAATGTTTAGCGTTATCGGCAGACCGAAATCTGTGAATAACGGCGAGCGTTATCCACACAGCTCTGTGAATAATGTTTAGCGTTATCGGCAGACCGAAATCTGTGAATAACGGCGAGCGTTATCCACACAGCTCTGTGAATAATGTTTAGCGTTATCGGCAGACCGAAATCTGCGAATAATCATATAATGCATTAGAACTAGACTGGTGAAAAATTATTGTTGGGTGTAGGCTATTAATATTACTATTTGTATACTGAACCGTCATGAGTTATTATCTAATTTTTTTCACTATCAATTATAAAAAAGGGCAAATTTATTACTAATATTAGTATGGTAATATCTGTATACCGCTAGTATAATAGTAATAGTATAGCCTATTACTAATTACTATACTAAATATTATGCAGTATAACTATACTAAATATTATGCAGTATAAAGTATATAGGCCTACACAATTGTAGTATAAGTAATAGACTTAGTTACTTACTTAGCTTAATCAGTGTACGCATACATGGGCGCCCGCAGAAAACTTTCTGGGGGGGGGGATCGATTAACTTTCTGGGGGTGGGGAAGGGGGCGCAAAATTTTTTTGCAATGTTTAAATGTTTTAATATAGTTTTAATTTACTGTACTGTAGCGTATTTGTAGGGAAAAGGAACGGACAGGACATCAGCTTAGTTACTTTCTCTTTATTTTCTCTTTACTTTAATACATTTTTTGTCTAATTTTTTTTGGCTATCCAATCAATCTAAGGGGGGGGGGACTAGTGCCCCCCACTTGCCCCTAACTGCGGGCGCCCATTAACGCATACAAATTTATTAGTGGGTGATAATTAGTGGGTCTATAATGCAGAGCGTTATTGTTAGACAGAAATTATCCCATCATAAGTACGCAAATTTCTATATCACTTTCCAACTATAGCCTATATATTGGATATAGGACAATTAATTGTGCCTACATCTGCTCTGTTAGGGGCCAACATAGGGTCTATTCGACCTATAGAGTGTTACTATTAGATCCAGTCAAACCTCCTACTCCTAGACATAACTAATTTTCTGGTATTTCATATTAAATGTTATACCAGTAATAAAAATTGTACCGGTACCCTTCATGTAGACTCACTTTCACCCACTGTTAAAATGATGTCAAAGCTTGATAGGGTATCGCTTACTGTTTTAAAAGCCCTATGATATATCACCTAGTCCAGAATTTTCTGTCAGGAATAGCCCATGCAGAGAGGTGGCTGCATCAGGCGGCCATGTGAGAGATTGGGAGGGGCATATAGGCCCTACATTGATAACAGAATGTAATCCTGTTAAAGTTTAAGGCTAGTATTTTTTCCTCATACTTAAGCGTGTCCCATAGTCTACCCAGCTCTGGCATTAGCTGGTCAAAAGTAAAGGTGGCTGGTTATTGCGCTGGCCATACACTCAAACTTGTAAACGTAGCGTCAATTTCCCCATGGGTAGGCCAATATGATCTGAAGGGGAACTTTACTTCCCCAAGACTCGCAATGCATCCTACAACCAGCAAGTTTCCAACAAATTTTTTAATGCTTTTTTTGTATTTAGACCCATAGTGACAACAGTGGCAGTATGGCTTTTTGTTTCAATTATCAAATTTTTTTGACAAAGAGCTAAAATTGTGGATGTCACTGATATGTTTTAATTACCGGTATGTACATTTCATTGTCATTACTAAGTGCTATTTCAATTATTTCTGGAGCGGCATATTGTGTCCATACTTATGATACAATTTAGAAAATAAATCTAAACAAATAAAACATGACAATGACATATTTTTTTTGGTAAACATTAACACATAACACTGAGATATAAAAAATTTGAATAAGTAAGTTGTTAATGTTTATTAGAGAAAAAACATAGAGGCATTTTTTACAGTCTATGAATGGAATTATACAAAGAAAATTAAACAGTCAAAAGAGCTCAAAGTTGAAGTATATCATAATGTACAGTTAGAACAGCTAATACTATACAAAAGCAGGCCTATATCATAATGTACAGTTAGAACAGCTTATACTATACAAAAGCAGGCCTATATCATAATGTACAGTTAGAACAGCTTATACTATACAAAAGCAGGCCTATATCATAATGTACAGTTAGAACAGCTTATACTATACAAAAGCAGGCCTATATCATAATGTACAGTTAGAACAGCTTATTCACAAGCAGGCTTATATCGTAATGTAAATAATTTTACAATTGCCAAACTTTTCACAAAACTTTACAAAAGATTGCCAAAACAATTTTCACTGATGTGTGAAATTTAATTTTATCAACAAAAGAAAGTTTTCATGAAGGTAAAATAATCAATACAAATTGCCACAAATGCACTTAATCTGAGCTAGTAGATGGACTCATACAAACATGAAATAAACAAATCTTACAGTGTGATTTAAAAGCAATAAAAGTGTTTGATTGACATAACAATAATAAAAAAAATTACCCCCAGCAAGCAATGCAAAACCATTTATTTGGTTTAGAAGTGGAACGCAAACCAACACAATGGTAGTGGTACCACTCTAAACACCCCTCACACTCAATCATTTTAAACTCCCCATTGTCCCTTTCTGCACAAGATTTGCAGGTAAAAAGGTCTTTCTCTTTTTTTTCTGCATACGCAAACCAACACAATGGTAGTGGTACCACTCTAAACACCCCTCACACTCAATCATTTTAAACTCCCCATTGTCCCTTTCTGCACAAGATTTGCAGGTAAAAAGGTCTTTCTCTTTTTTTTCTGCAACTCTGGCCTGCAGAATCGCCCATGCCTCTTGAACAAAGAGATTTTCAATAAATGAAAAAGAAATGCTGTCATTGGCAAAGACCGATGATATGTCTTCTGTTGACTTTATATTACATACGGAGTAAGGAGGAAGGGCAGTTAAATCTATGACACATCCCGACAGAAGCATCTGCCTCTTGACTTCCCTTAATCTGGAATTGTAGACCTGTGGACAAGCTTTTCTTTTGCTGTACCTCCTGGTAAAAGCCTGTGTCTGTCTAGGTCTACCTTTTGTTTTGACCTGGGACAGTTTAACACTAGAAAATCCACAAGATGATACAGCAGGGGATGAAACAGCGATAACAAAATCAGCACCAAGGCTTTCAGACGACACTGATGAAGTAGATTCACACAGAGTGGGCAAGGAGGCAACACCAAGACTGTCAGAAGACAGAGAGGGAGGTGGCAGAGTCAAATTGGGCATAACAGCAGCATCGAGGCTTTCAGAGGACAGAGAAGGAGGTGGCAGAGTCGAATCGGGCATTACAGCAGCATCGAGGCTTTCAGAGGACAGAGAAGGAGGTGGTAGAGACAAAGTGGTCAAGACAGCAGCACCAAGGCTTTCAGAGGACATGGAGGAAGCGGGCTCAGGTAATTCCGAAAGGTCAATTACAGCTACAGCACGGTCAGATTTAATGAGGGAGAAAACTCTGTTGAGATGAGATAATGCAATTTGAAAGGCATGCTCCCCCAATAAAGGAAAGAAAGATTCAATGTCCTTAGTTATTTCTCTAGTAAGATGGTAACGGGACTCAGGAGTGCTGGCATTTCTCGTTGGAATGATTTCATGTGTGATACTGTGATCATTAGAGACATGAAGAACTGGATTGACAGGAGTGCTTTTAAAGCGTTCATTATTGCAATGATAGAGTGGCAGACAAAGATTAGACCGTAGAGCAAATATGTGTCGACAAGGTAAATGGAATTTAAAGAAGAAATCACAAGAACAGGAATCAATAGTGCAGTCGTACGAAGAAGAGCCAGGTGTTGATGATGACAAAATGTATGTGTTAGGAGAAGTTAGAGAATTTTGAAAAAGATAGTGAGTTTTCTGATAGAGAAGAAATTGTTCTATGACAATTTTTGCGCCAAAAGGAGTAAGGTCATTCTGAATTGTGTTAACAACATCAGAATTATATTTAGTGTTGTACTTTAAAGAAATAGAATGTATGCAAGCTGAGGCATCTCTAGCTTGCATTGTGCTCTTTGTCATTCTGAGTAGTTCGTTTATACAAACACTGAGGGGTGATTTAGAAGTTAGGACTTGCTTTATTTTTTGATGAAATGTCTCAGCATGATTGGTGGTATTGACATGAAAGGTTGGGGAATCTACAAAACAAGCAGCCCAAAGTTGGGGACAGTTCCACCAGTTGGATTGAAAGTATGAAACAACTTCTGGAGATGCAATGTCAGATATTTTATCCTTTAGCACATTGTACTGAGACAAAGCAATGCAGGATTTTTGTTCTGCAAACAGATCAAGTATACAAGAAATTTGAGGAACGGGCAGCTTTCTCTGCTGGAGAGCTTTTTTGACAGCTGTGGCTGTGTGAAAAGCACAGAGTCTAATAGACACATGTGGAAGACATGTGCGAATGGCACACATTTCTGCCATGTCCTTGTCAACAAATACAGTCTTCGTCAAGTCAAAAGAAAACGAGGAGACAAAAAAGGACAGACAAGAAGAGAGAATGAGGGTGTCTTCAGATGCCAGAAGCGCATGAAAGACCGGCCTGCCTTGCCCATTGCCATCAATTACAAGGATATTTAATAACGGATAGTTATTTTTATTCACCTTATATGTGCTGTCCATTATAAGGACCTCAGGAAACTGAGACAGGGTTCGCAACATATCCTGGGTCATGAAAGCCAAGAACTTAAAGTCCCCACCCTCATTCGTTCCATACTTCAACACCCCCCCCTCAGCCTGCAACTTTTCCAGAATTTCTTCTACTTTCTCTGATTCCTCTTGGCTTTCTTGATAATTAAGTTTCTTCTTCCAATTTCGAACATCTTGGCTAAAGATATGTCTCCCCTCACTTTTTTGCACCATCTCCTTTATGTCTCGGAAGGAGACAGATCTTATTGAGAGAAGGGTCTTTAGGGGGCTAGACATCGTTGCTTTCCTATTCTCTGGATAGAGTTGTGAAACCTGAAATAATAAAATTTTCACAATATTTAAGTTAATTCTAAGGTTGTTTTCTTTTTTTTTGGGTAACATATACATGAAAATAGGAAGAAGAAAGGTCGTAATGTATGACATAAGAAAAGATACTACTAGAGGATGAAAATATTGTACCTGTTGTCCAATAGGGTGGTTGTCATGAACCAGGTTACAGGTGGTTACTTTAAGAAAATGGTTATCTCCATCATCCACCACATGTAAATTTATAAATGATGGGCATCCTATCTTGAATGATCTGTAACACAAACAATAAAGGCTAAGATTCACAGCGTATGTAATATGGTTTCCAACATAATTCTTATTAAAATAAAACTTACTAGAAACTTAAAACTAGTTCACAATTTCAATTAATTTGTGGGTATTTGTAGCGTCAACAGTGCAAAAATGCTTACCGTTGATTAGGTCTGATGCCTCGGCTAATATTTCTTATTAAAATAAAACTTACTAGAAACTTAAAACTAGTTCACAATTTCAATTAATTTGTGGGTATTTGTAGCGTCAACAGTGCAAAAATGCTTACCGTTGATTAGGTCTGATGCCTCGGCTAATACTTTTTTTTGCCCTAAGCCCTTGTTTGCATGCGAACCGTATGCTCTCATATTTTAACGTCTCCAAGTCAGGTGATTCATTCTTCAACTAAAAGGAAAAGGGAATCATTGTAAATTCATTGTAAATCAAATTATGAATTGGTTTTAGTGATGTAGTGTAACCATTTTATGAAAACTTTTTTTGGAAACTAACTATTAAAGATAGTGGACATGGGTAAATTCAGAGAGAGCGGCCCGCATCTGTTTCCATGCGTGCACTTTTACGTCTTAAATCGATCCCTATGCCTAACCTGAACCCTAAATCTATCCATATGCCTAACCCGAACCCTAAATCTATCCCTATGCCTAACCCAAACCCTAAATCGACCCCAATGCCTAAGCTTAACAAAATCAACGTGGGCCGCTAAATCTGAAACAGCCGGGACATGTTTCTGGAACCTGTGCCTGATAAATGAATCCTATTGTAAACATAGCTTACTTTAGGCCAACAGTGCCCACACGACACAACATATTTAAAAAACATTTGTATAATATAATATAAAATCATTTTTAGAGATTATTATTAGAAAATGTTTTCTTACTTTATTTGAGCTGTTAATTACATACAGCACACCACACTCCTCTTCATGTCTCTTAAGAGCAATACGAAAATCTTCGTATGTTGAAAATTGTGCGCCTTTCTCGATCGCCATTATGACCAGCGGCAAAATCTATGTGAATAAATAAATATGTATTCGTATTAACATTATTATTTTTATTTTTATACATATTATATTGATCAATAGTGGCAAATACAGCCTTTAAATAAATGTACAGGCTTTCAGGTCTAAATATCATGTTTTAAGCATTCATTTCAAGCCACTTCGTAAATTAAAGCCATTATCATTATTATTTAAAATTCAACATTGAAACTGATTAGATTAGATAAAAAGTAACTGATTAGATTAGATAAAAAGTAATAAAAAGCAAAGCTTACCGATTATATTATAAAGAAGGAAATCTGGTAAATTTTTGTATAAAGAAGGAAATCTGGTAAAATTTTGTGAAACGCGCGGAACTTTTGATACCCACATCGATTTATAGCACCCACATCGTTTTATAGCGGAAACTGCCAGCGCCACCATTCGCGAATCTACGAATAATGCCGAACGAATTCTGTGAATAACGTTTAGCGTTATCCACACAGCTCTGTGAATAATCACTCCGTTTTGTGAGACATTTATTGACTGTTTAAGTTCAATCACAGTTTTTTTTAAATAATCATATCGCTCCTGAAATGGATAGAAAGTAAAACACATAAAACCGAAATGAGAGAGAATCATCTGCAAAAGTTTTATTTCTATCTATAGATAAATTGAAAAGGGCTAAAGTAAATTAAGTAGTACTATTAATAAGAAGGCATGACTGCCTGCCCCTGAAATATAGAAGTTAGTTCATTTTTGTCTAGCAGGTGTGGGAAAGTAGCCTGTGAGATGTACACTTCAGTTCATTAATCTTGGGAAAAAGGAAAAAAAAATCTTTTCTCTTTTATAAAAAGAAATCCTGATGTTTGATTTGAAAATCAACTGTACTGTATCCAGAAATACACAAAAATAAATAAAATAAAGAGTTTAAAAAAAGATTTAAATTTTTTTTTTTTTTTAAATTTAATTTTTATTTTAAAAAGTTGTAAAAAAAAAAAAAAAAAAAAGTTTAAAAAAAAATTTAAATTTTTTTTTTTTTTTAAATTTAATTTTTATTTTAAAAAGTTGTAAAAAAAAAAAAAAGTACCTCTGTTAATGCTATTTAAATAATCAGCCTAGTAATAGTAACATGATTGCATTATTTAATTATTAATTTATGTGTTCAAATACTTGTCATTTACAGCGGCTTGCAATCCCCCATGTCTAAATGGAGGTGAATGTGTTGCTGACAATAAATGTATTTGTTCACCGCCATACTATGGGGAGCAATGTTTACACAGTGAGTACATTTTCATACACGTACACATTTTTTTCAACTTTAATGTAAATACTTTATTTTAATATCTTGTGTACTCTGCAAACATTTAAAAATGTCTGCATTAACATCTGCATGAATGGCTCCTGCATACTTCCTATTATTGAATAATCAAGTTCAGTATCTAGTTTTGTTTTGTCTCTTGGGAATCTAAAGTTGTTATAGAAAACTTTTTTTTTAAAAAAAAGGTTAGGACTCGTCTTAGTTGGTTTATTCAGCTAGTACAGTGAAAACTATGGTACCTCTCAAATTCAAAAATAGATCACTAAAGTTTAGAGCAGCCAGAAACAAATCCTTCAAAAGTATATTTAAAATAGCACATTAAAAATCATATTAACAAGCATAATCATGTTATAAAAATGATTATATACATTTTTAAAGGTCGTCAGATATGTGAATATTCGACAAATCCAAGATTTGGTTCTTTTGATTGCAAACCTGATAATGAGGGAGGAAAGACGTGTGTTCCACAATGTCTTCCAACTTTTGTTTTTGAGACCCCACCCCCAGAAAAGTATGTGTGTACAAAGGATGGCACTTGGACTCCTGACATCAATAAAGTGCCAGACTGTATCCAAGGTAAATAGATATGTTTAAATTATGTCAATGTAACTAGGTTACAGCTTATATTAAAAAAATTGTTTTAATATTTTAATTCAAACGTTAAAAACAAATTTTATTTAATAATCGGCCACACTTCAATGAATAGGTCTTAAATAAATCTTAATATGCTCAAACTTAACATGTATTACTTTTTCTTCATGACTTCATGTAACGAATGTCAAAATCAATTTCTATCATTTTATCCTCTCAGAAATTGTGCACCCAACCACAAAAGCTGTAACCACACCTGGTAGGACATTATACTTTTAAAAAATTTCTTTTCTTTGCTATAAATGTTTATTTGACATTATTGTATAGGATAGTTAATTTTTGTGTATGTTATGCATAATGAGAAAAGTTGTTACAACAGTATCCCTTTATGAGATTAAATTAATTTTTTTAATAAACATACATAGGCCAACACATACATATTTAATTGTTTACATATCATATGTTTTGCGAAATTAGTTCCTAGAATTGTCAGTGAGGCTATGTGTGGAGCTTGGGGCACAAATCATTATCGTACATTTGATAACAAGGTGTACACTTTTGATGTAAGTTAAACAAGAGAAAATATCATTTCTGAATTACATTTTTCTTAAAGACAATAAGTTAAAACATTAATATCCAATTTTATCCAGTTAACAAAAATAAATCTGTTGGATCAAAAAGTTATTCATATTTTTATATCAGTTTAATAACTTGAAATAGGATACATTTTTTGAGCCACTATCATCAGTTTGTTTAGTTATTACATTTTTAAATTTATGAAATTAATAAAAATACACCTTCAAAACTCTTAAGTTAAATTTTACAATAGAGAAAGGATGTAAATTATAAGTCTTCCAATTTATTTTTCATAGGGTCCTTGCTATTACACATTAGCATTTGTGCAAGATAAGTTTGAAATCTCTGCACGGAACAACCCTGCCTGCTCTGGTGGCACCAACTGCAATAAGCAAATTATAATTAATCAGGGTGGAACTACAATCACTCTTTCTGCTGGAACCAGTGGACCTGAAATACATTGGAATGGTCAGGTACAAAATATATATGTATCTATAACAGACAAGAATATTTTTAACATAGATTTTTAGAGGCCTTTTCTCAGTATCTTTAAATAAACCTGAATTTAATTTTTTTCTCATAAATTTGTTATAGCCTACGTCATAATCCATAATCGATCGTTGGGTATCCCAATTCTGTATGCATGCCTAACAAATAAGTAGTATTTCATTGGAAAAATTTTGCATTAAAATATTTGTTTGATTATAATGAAAAATTGAATATTTTATAAATCATTTTTCTTCCTTATAATTTGAATTTCAAAAGATAGAAGGTTATTTATTCCTTGTTTCTATTTGGCAGCTTTTGACAATCCCAGGATTCAAAGATGGTGCTGTTTTTGAGAAGGTTGGAGGCTATGTTACTTTTTCTAGCTCACTAGGATACAGCATCAAGTGGGATGGAAAACAATCAGTCTTTGTAAAGGTAGTAGCCTTTGTGTCCATAATGTCC